ACTATATCAAAAGTCTTCCTACATTCATCTTAAATATTCCTATCTCTGTCTGTACTGCCAACAGCTCGCTCTCGGTCACCATCACTCCTCACCAGAACGATTAGAACAATTTATTCCTGTTCTTGCCGCCTTCCCCCGCACCTAAGCCATTTTGTGTTGCAGCTAGAATGATTTTTCCAAGGCTAACGAGCTAAGGGGTAGGTCACTTAAAGCATTTACTATGCACCCACTGTATACTAGACAATGGCTTGAGGATAAAAATAGGAGTGATAAAAAACTATGTGTTTTGTTTGTTTGTTAACCCTTACCATAAGATATTTTTTCCATTGATTTTATTTTTAGAGAGAGTGAAGGGAGGGAGGGAAGAAAGGAAGAAGAGAGAAAGAGAGTTGTTTGGTCCACTTATTTATGCTTTCATTGGTTGATTCATGTATGTGCCCTGACCAGAGATTGAACCTGAAACTCTGGCTTATTGGGAGGATGCTCTAACCACCTGAACTACTTGGCCAGGGTTTACTATGTATGTGTTTTTGTTGTTGTTGTTCTTGTGTTTTTTGTTTTGTAACTATTGTACAAATATCTATGTGGTATTTCAATAATTCCTAATCATAGAAATTTTTTAAATGATGGTTTTATTGAAATATAATCCACATGCCATAAAACTCATTTTTCTAAAGCATACATTAAGTGGTTTTTATTTATTTTTTTAATATATTTTTTTATTGATTTCAGAGAGGAATGGAGAGGGAGAGAGAGATAGAAACATCAATGATGAAAGAGAATCATCGATCGGCTGCCTCCTGCAAGCCCCCCACCGGGGATCGAGCCTGCAACCCGGGCATGTGCCCCTGACCGGAATCGAACCCAGGGCCCTTCAGTCCACAGGCCGATGCTCTATCCACTGAGCCAAATCAGCCAGGGCTAAGTGGTTTTTAGTATATTCACAAAGTTGTGCAATCATCACCACTATCTAATTCCAGAACATTTCATGTTTCTCCTCTTCACCACCCCGGGCAACCACTAATCTAATTTCTGTCTAGAGATTTGCCTATTCTGGACATTTCATTTTTGTCTAGCTGCTTTTACTTAGCATAATGTTTTCAAGGTTTATCCATATTGTAGGGTGTATCAGTACGTCATTCCTTTAATACCTAATATTCCATTGTATGGATATACCACATTTTGTTATCCATTCACCAGTTGATGGACTTGAGGTTGTTTTAATTTTTTTTGGATATTACAAATAATGTGCCTGTAGGCATTCATGTACAAGTGTTTCTATGGACTCATGTTTTCATTTCTTGCAGTGAAACTGTTGGGCCATATGGTAAATGTTTAAACATTTTTTAAAAATATGTTTTAATTTATTTCAGAGAGGAAGGGAGAGGGAATGAGAAATAGATACACCAATGATGAGAGAGAATCATTGATTGGCTGCCTCCTGCACGCCAGAAGGGGATCCAGACCAAAATCTGGGCATGTGCCCCGACTAAGAAGGGAACCGTGACCTCCTGGTTCATGGGTTAATGCTCAACCACTAAGCCACACTGGCCAGGCAATGTTTAAACTTTTGAGAAATTGCCAGACTGTTTTCTAAAGTGGTTGCACCAATTTGCAATCCTACTAGCAGTGTGTGAGGGTTCCATTTTTCCACATCCTTGCCAACACTTGTCTTTCTTATGTTAGTCATTCTAGTGAGTGTGAGATGGTATCTCATCATGGTTTGATTTGTTATTTCCCTGATGATTGACAATGATGAGCATCTTTTCATGTATATCCTATCTAATAAAAGAGAAACATGGTAATTAGCCGTAAGTCCGCTACCCTTCCCATTGGCTAATCAGGGCAATATGCAAATTAACTGCCAGCCAAGATGGCGGCCGGCAGCCAGGCAGCTTGAAGCGAACATGAGGCTTGCTTGCTTCAGTGACGGAGGAAACCAACTGTTCCCCGCCTGCCTTGCTGGCCTCTGAGCTTGCAGTTTGAAACATAGTTACAAATATAGAAGTTAAACAAAACCCCAGAAACCTGCTTTCAGGGAGCCGAGCCGGGATCTCAGAGCTGGAGTTGAAACAGTGTTTCGATTATAGAACCCAAACAAACCAGATACCTGCTTTCAGCAGCCGAGGCCTCAGAGCTGGAGCCAAGCCTCAGAGCTAAAGCTGGCCCAGAAAAAAAAAAAAAAAAAAAAAAAAAGGAGCAGTTGGGAGCTTCAGTCACCCGCCAGCCTGAAAACAGCCCTCAGCCCCTCACCCAGACTGGCCAGGCACCCCAGTGGGGACCCCTACCCTGATCCAGGACACCCTTCAGGGCAAACCAGCCGGCCCCCACCCATGCACCAGGCCTTTATCCTATATAGTAAAAGGGTAATATGCCTCCTGGCACTGGGATCAGCGTGACAAGGAGCAGCGCCCAAACCCCCTGATTGCCCTGCGGCTCTGTGTGTGACAGGGTGCAGCACCCCAACCCCCCGCCCCCACGGGCCCTGCTCTGTGTGTGACGGGGTAGAGCCATAACCTCCCCATCGGCCCTGCCCTGAATGTGACAGGGTGCGGTGTCCCAACCCCCTGATATGCCCTGCTCTGTGTGTGACAGGGGGCAGTGCCGCAACTCCCCTATCGGCCCTACTCTGTGAGTGACAGTGGGGAGCTCCTCAACCCCCTGATCGGCCCTGCTCTGTGCGTGACAAGGGGGAGCTCCCCAACCCCCTGATGGGCCCTGCTCTGTGTGTGATGGTACGAAGCCCCAACCCCCCTGATGGGCCCTGCTCTGTGAGTGACAGAGGGCAGTGCCCCAAACCCCTGATTGGCCCTGCTGTGTGTGTGCCAGGGGGTGGCACCACAACCTCCCCATCGACCCTGCCTTGAGTGTGACAGGGGCCGGTGCCCCAACCCCCAAATCGGCCCTACCCTGAGCATGATTGAGGGTGGCATCACAACCTCCCAATCCGCCCTGCTCTGTGCATGACAGGGGGCGGCGCCCCAACTCCCCAATCAGCCCTGCTCTGAGCCCGACCAGGGGCTGCACCTAGGGATTGGGCCTGCCCTCTGCCACCCGGGAGCAGGCCTAAGCCAGCAGGTCGTTATCTCCCGAAGGGTCCCAGACTGCGAGAGGGCATAGGCCGGTCTGAGGGACCCCCCTTCCCCCCGAGTGCACAAATTTTTGTGCACCGGGCCTCTAGTTTGTATATATTCTTCGGAGAAATATCTATTCAAACCCTTTGTCTATTTAAAAAATTGAATTATTGCCCTAGCTGATTTTGCTCAGTGGATAGAGCATCTGCCTGCAGACTGAAGGGTCCCAGGCACATACCTCGGTTGCAGGCTCAATCCCTGGTCCTGGTCTGGGATGTTGGAAGGCAACCAGTCGACACATCAATGTTTCTCTCTGTGTCTCTTCTTCTCCCTTCCACTCTCTCTGAAAATCAATGGAGAAAAATCCTTAGGTAAGGATTTAAAAAAATTGAATTATCTTTTCGTTGTTAAATTGCAAGAGTTCTTTATATATTCTGAATACTAATCCCTTATCAGATGTATGATTTGCAAATATTTTCTCTCATTTTGTGGTTGTCATTTCACTTTCTCGGTGTTCTTTGACACACCATAATTTTTAGTTTTGAAGTCCAATTTATCTATTTTTTCTTTTATTATTGTGCTTTTGGTGTCATATCTAAGAAAAAAATTGCCTAATCCAAGGTCATGAAGATATATTTCTGTTTTTTCCAAGAGCTTTGTAGTTTTCGCATTTACATTTAGGTTCTAGGATTGGTTGGTTTGTTTTTTTGTATATGGTACCGGTAAGTATAACATCATTCTTTTGCTTGTGGATACTCATAGAACTTTTAAACTGTATTGAATTGCGTATCTTTCTTTGCAATTAGACTATAAACTCCACGAGGGCAGAGACCAAGGTGGTCCTACTAAATCTTTTTTTAATGAATAGACGAATTAGGTAACCAAAATATCAAGTTTCTTTTTCTTTTCCAGAATTATATCAACTCTGTGCAATAACACTTTTCATTGTCATGTTGGCAGTGACAATCCCTTGAGAGTTATGATTCAGAAACAAACTAAATCACAGAGTGACAGAGACTGACTTAAAGTCAAATGTTGACTTCCATTTAAGAACTGTGTAACCTTGGGCAAATTACATTACTTCCATCTTATTCCTTAAAATGGGGATTTAATTGGTATAGCGCTAAAGGAATAATTGAGATCTTGTAACTAAAGTGCTTTACACGTTGTAAGCATCCAGCAAATAGTAGCATTTATTATTGCAAAGGAATAGAAGAATATTGGGAAATCCTTTAACATACGACTACCTTTTGTCCCAGATTTCTTCTGTAGTACAGATTTCAATATTTTCATTTTCTTTTGTGAATTGAGTATTGTTAGACCATTGGTTTTTGATATGGAACAAAGGCATACACATAAATACAATTCAATGTGGGAATAACCTTAAAGGTATGCAAATACTCTGGAGTTCAGAATGAGCAACAGAAAGAAATACCCTTTTGGGTGTAAGAACTTAGTGGAAAGGGGGTCTGAACAGGGACTCTAGGCCTTTTGGATTTATTTCATTGTGGCATATATTTCAGGTTTGTTCAATAGTTATTTACGCGACTGTCTCCTCCACCAGTCAGCATAGAAAACCTGTCTTAAGTCATTGGATTTCCAGTACAGTGGGCACGCCTCCCATGGTTGCACTGACGTGTTTTGGCCACTTGGGTCAGAAAGGATTATCTGGAGAGGGATGGAGAAGTCGGAAGGCAGAGGAAACACCTCGATTCATTGCCAAGAAGAGGAGAGCGGCTCCGGTACGGGACACAGGTCAGTCCTAAGGCTCCAGTCAGTGTGACTCAAGGAACCGAGGGAACCGCCAGCGAGCACTTTCTTTCCGGCTCCTGGCCTTGCAGGGCCACTTCCGGGAGAGGGCGGGGAGATTTGAAAAGGAGTGCGGGGAAGGAGGCCTTTTGCACTGCACCAGGCGGAAGTGTGCCAAAGGTATCCGGATTGCCGCTTCCGGTCCGGGTTAACGCGGTTGGGATACACTGCGTGGTCCGTGTGGTGCTGGGACGGACTTCTGAGGGCCAATCGTGGGTGAAGAGGCAAGCACCGGCGTCAGGACACCGAAGTGGGCAAGCTAATGGGAGGATCGGAAAAAAGGCCAGGAACCTGAATACGACCTCACTCTCTGTTTCCGAGGGGGCAACTTCCACCGGGAACCCCTCTGCCCTGGTAACGGCCAAAGAAGAGATGGCGCCAGTCGGGGAGCGGCTGTGGCCGACACAGTAAGGAAGGGCGAAGGCGGAGCAACCGGAGGAGCCGTGGAGAAGAGCGAGAGCCGTCACTGCCGCCGCCACCGCCACCACCATGGAAGGAGCCAAGCCGACCCTGCAGCTCGTGTACCAGGCAGTGCAGGCGCTTTACCACGACCCGGATCCCAGCGGAAAGGAGCGCGCCTCGTTTTGGCTTGGGGAGCTGCAGCGTTCGGTGAGGGGCCCGGAGAGGCCGTTCTGCCCCGCGGGGCCAGGGCGGGGTGGGAACTAGGCTGGCGCCGGAGCCCGAACCCGCTGTGGGCCTCGTGAGATCCTCCTCGGGGCGGAGCTGCTCCCGCGGGGTGGGGCTGTGAGGCTGCCGCGAGCTGCGCGGCTTTTTGGAAACTGGGAGCCGCCGGCCCGGCGCGCTCCGGCCCTTTCCCCGCCCCACGGAAACTGATGAGTAGGTCCTGCACTTGACTGTGGCAGCCATGTGGTCGGTCCTCTTTTAAGTTTCACCCACACTACTTGCTCCTTCCATGGCCCGGCTTCTCCGTTTTGTCTTCCTTCAACCAGATCCAGCCCTAGGCGTTCTCCATCCTCCACTCAAGGATGTTTTGATCCGTCTCCCCTCGGTGCCCAAGTCTTGCGTCTGGCAGTTCCTTCCCAGTCGTAGCTTACACCTCACTGTTCTTGCGGATGTTTCACTAGGTTGAGTTCATTATTCTCGAAACTTCTCAGATTTCTAGATTCTTGTGCACTTGAATTTTGCCTGTGTTTTGGAGTGCAAGGTAATTTAAAGATAACAAACATCCAGACTGATTTCAGGAAAATCTTTTGCTGCAGTTCTCGTATGCTGCATGTTTGTTCCCCAACCTTGCCTTTTCGGTTCTTTAGAAGATATGGGTATCGTAGCTGCCTTGATTATTCCGTGTAATTGCAACCTGTTGTATTTCTGCATTCTTTGATTCACATGTCTTATGTTTCCTTATCTAATTTTCGTGCTGTGTGTGTGTGTGTGTGTGTATGCTTGATCTTGCTGACTACCATTTTTAATTTTGCATTATATTTAAAAATTTGCCCCCTCTTTTCTTTCTTTTTTTTTAAAACTAATAATTGGTACTTAAAGGTACTCTGCTCTTTTAAACCAGCCCCTAGGCTGCAAGTGAATATTATTTAAAATTTATAATTTTAATATTACACTTAAAAAACCAATTGGGCCAAAACCGGTTTGGCTCAGTGGATAGAGCGTCGGCCTGCGGACTGAAAGGTCCCAGGTTCGATTCCGGTCAAGGGCATGTACCTGGGTTGCGGGCATATCCCCAGTGGGGGATGTGCAGGAGGCAGCTGATCGATGTTTCTCTCTCATCGATGTTTCTAGCTCTCTATCTCTCTCCCTTCCTCTCTGTAAAAAATCAATAAAATATATTTAAAAACAAAACAAACAAAAAAAAAAAACCAATTGGGAGTCCACGTGCTGGATAACCTCATGGGAAGATAACGAAATAAGTCTCACTGTAGGTTACACAAGAAAATCATTCACATGTGGTCTTATTTAGTGCTTAGTTAGTTTTTGTGATCTGGGGACTGACAAGTCCTTGATTATCATACAGTTTTCAAAGTAAATAGGAGGAATGCTATGCCATACCGAAAGTCACCTCTTCCCAACTAAGCCTGCTTATTGTTGTATGTATTTTAAATCCATGTTTGAGTGCATACCAGGTACCAGCAACTGTGCTAGGCTTTGGTATATGGAAATGAAACAGATAAAAAAAAATCTCTGCTTGCCACATAGGATGCTTGTGATGATTAAATGAGTTAATACTTACGAAGAGCTTAGAAAAGTTCCTGAAACCTAGAGCTCAAAATAGTAATCATTATTTAAATGGTAGTCACTTTTATTACTTTATACTACTCTCTGTTACAACCTTACATCATTATCATCATTGTCATCCTCATGACCTCATCACACAGGGTCCCAAACAGGAACAGTTGGCACACTTGAAATAGGATAATTTGAGGAGGGTTTATTTTGTAAAGGTACTTTATAAAGATGTGGCACCTAAAGAGGTAGTGTCATAACCTGTAGCCAAATTGTTAACATCTGGAAGGGACAGGAGAGAGAGTGGGTCCTTGAATTTTCAAGAAGAGTATGGAGTTGGCTACCTTGAGACGAGTGGTAGTTTTTGGTTGAAGGGACACAGCCAACATGAGGTGACTTTGCAGGGAGGAAGCTGGAGAAATAAATGTCTTGACCTTATTCTCCTAACCTCCCCCTAGAATTCCCTACTGGGAAAACCTAACCAGAAGCTAGGGGACATGGGAACCTGTTGATAGGGTGTATATTAGGATAGAAAAAAATGATAGAAAGTGTGGAAGCGTGGACTTGGGAAAATACCTAACTCAGCTACATACCATTTTTAGGCAGCTTCAGCATCTGGATTGACAATTCAGCTAACACTTGGGCCTCTTCATTCCTTTACCTCTCTTTCTCAACCACCTGGTCACACTCACAGCCTGGGTGTTGTCATTATTAAAAAGTCCTCATGTCCCCAAATCACTAACTCAGACATTTTGTTGGCTCAAGAATCTCAAGTAACCTCATATGGTAGTTTTTATTTTTTGAAGTCTTATATAATTTTAATTTTTATAAAAGTTAAAGTTTTATTTTTTATAACTTAAAAAATTCAAAACTAAACTTTAAAAACCTTTTTAAAAAGTTGTAGATGGAAATTTTACTAGAAAACTGCCTAGGATGAAAAAGCAGTTATGTATAGACTTTCTCCTATGAAAGATGAGGGTTTAGACTCCCTCTATTTCCTTTCATTCATTCTCTCTAACATAATTATATTACAGTTTTTGTTAAATTAATACACATTTTGAATTAAACCATGTAGCATATATACCAGTGATGGCGAACCTATGACACGCGTGTCAGAAGTGACACACGAACTCATTTTTTTGGTTGATTTAGGGTTTTTCAAAATGCTGACACACTGAGCTCAAAAGGTTCGCCATCACTGATATATACCATGGTAATATTTCCCATTTTGCGCATCTTTTTTCTTCTCATAGTAAACATTGCCTTTTTTTCCTTCTTCTTCACATTTGCTTCCTTTTCTAAATATCTATAGTAATTCATTACAAACTTTGTCATGAAGTTTGACAGACTTGCTCAAATCTGGCCTGGTTGCTCTCTTGTATGTTGCATAATTATTGTCCTGGGATCTCTATTTAACACTGTCCTAGGGTATTCCTTTCATTTCTTTCGTGTTTTGGATGGACTAAGTTTTGGATCCGATGGTCTTTTCTTGGATTACTCCCTCATTTGATGGGCAGTTGAGAGGGAACCTTCACCCTTTCTCTCTCATTGTCTTTCTCGGGTCACTTTTACCCTGAGAGAAGTCCTCTGGTCTGCCTGGGGATTATAAACTAGGCTGCTGGTGGCAGCTGGGAGAATGAGCTAGGGGATGGATTCACCACTAAGTATTTGGCTTTAATTTAATCACCCATTTTCAGTATGATAGTCCAGTCCTTTATGTGAGCCTCTTGTCCAAGAGTCCAGAGTCCCACTACTTCAGTCTTCCCAAAGTAAATCTTGAGTCTTCTGTGTTGGTGGGAGAATAGTAGTCTGGCTGCTCACAGTCAGGAGGAAAATCTAGGAATGAACCCACTTGTTCCTTTGTTTCCTGTTCTACCTGTATTTCTGCTATACATGGTACTTCTAATTTCTGAGCCTAATTTGGGATTTTGCTTATGAATTAGTTTGTCCCTTGGTGGCATTTTCATCCCATCCTCCCTCCCTGCTCCTAGACTTATTTCAGCTTTCTCAGACCTCCTAAGACAGTTAACACTCATTCATTAGTTTTCTAGTTTCAACAGTTTTATTAATATCAATCATGTTTCCATTCTCTTTATTCTGGTGGGTTTTCCCCACCCCCGTAACCTGCCCTTTTTTTGTTTTTAACTCTTCACTCTGAGTTTACTGGATATTTAAAATATATATATATTTATTGGTTTCAGAGGGGAAGGGAGAGGGAGAGAGAGATAGAAACACCAATGATGAGAATCATTGATCGGCTGCCTCCTGCACGCCCCCTATTGGGGATTGAGCCTGCAATCTGGGCATGTGCCCTTGACTGGAATCAAACCCAGGACCCTTCAGTCCACAGGCTGGTGCTCTATCCACTGAGCCAAACCAGCCAGGGCGTTAATAGATTTTTGAAAGAGACCTGGGGGCAAATTGATGTGTTCAGTCATGTTAAACAGAATTCTCTGCATTAGTTTATTCCATTGACCAGCCCCCTACTTTTTCTTTATTCAGTCTTTACTTTATCCAGTTTGGATTCCAGAGTCTATCATTCTAGTCACTTTCTTTTTTCTTTTTCTTAATATGTTTTTATTGATTTTTAGAGAAAGAGGAAGGAAGCGGGATAGAGAGATAGAAACATCACTGAGAGAGAAACATCATCGATTGGCTGCCTCCTGTACACCCCCTACTAGGAATGCAGCCTGCAACCCAGGCATATACCCTGACCAGAATCTAACTGGTGACCTCTTGATTCATGGGTTGATGCTCAACCACTGATCTACCTTGGCCTGGCTACTTTCTTAAATATACCGTCAACTGTTCACCTCTGATTTGGTAACATTTCAGCATGAGTATTTTTAACTGCTTCTTCCTTCTCCTATCTAATATAGCTGCTCTGCATCTCATTTTCTGAATCCTCAGGAACCTTGATTTTTTTTTTTTGTTTTTTTGTTAATCCTCACCCAAGGATATTTTTCCCATTGATTTTTATTTTATTTTATTTTTTGTTAATTCTCACCTGGGGATATTTTTCCATTGATTTTTAGAGAGAGTGGGAGGGAAGGGGAGAGACAGAGAGAAACATTGATGTGAGAGTGACACCTCGACTGGTTGCCTCCTGCACGCACCCTGACCAGGGCTGGTGCTGGGGAACCTGCAACCAAGGTATGTGCCTTTGACTGGAACTGAATCCAGAACCTTTAAGTCTGCAGGCTGATCCACTGAGCGAAACTGGCTAGGGCGGGAACCTTGATCTTTTGGTTATCCTGTGTCTCACTTGCATTTCAGATTCTCTCTTTCTTTACAGGATCCTTCCCAACAGCATTCAAATAGCTGTAGTATCTCTCATAGTAAGCAGATGGTTTTGGGGTGGGAGGATGCCACCGTTGCCAATATTGTGATCTCTTTTATTCTTTCTTACTTAA